ATTGTGCAAAAATCCTTAAATTAAAACTAATTAAAATACTATTTTTTAAAGTGAATATAAAAACTTATATAATGATAACAAGTAAAACTCTCAGATTACTCCCACCAAATAAATTTTGCATACGAATACAAAGAGAATAAAAAGTATATAAATACATACATAATAAAGCTGTAAATGAGAGCAAAAATACTGCTGGATTTCCAAAAAAAAAAAAAATAATGTTTATGATAATTGCAGTATTAAATTTTCAAAAAGTTAGTATAAATAAAATAAATAAATATAAAATATGAAAATACAAAAATAGATAATAGACACACCAAAATAAAAATAAAATAAAATTAATATTATATACATATGTATGTATAGTAAAATGAAAATAGCTTATTTTGAAATGTATACAACACACAAAGTATTCCCAAAAAAAAACAAAAACACGCAAAACAAAAGCAAATTCAATACTCGGCGAGTTGTAGAAAATTAATGAAAAGTTTATTTCGCGGTTTTTATTTATGTTAGTTATTTATTATTATTTTATTATTATTTTATTATTATTTTATTTTTTTTTTGTGCCTCTAATTTAAAGCAATCAGTAGCAATGCTAAACAGACGTAGCTGACATTTCAAAAAAACAGGCGAATATATAAAATAAAGTATTAAAATTAAATTAAATGTAAGACTTAAACAAAAATGATTAAATCTTACAGGCGCTACGATATGTACATGACTAATTAATGAAAATAAACAAAAATACAAACAAATTAAGGAAAAATATTAAACTTAATTATCAGCAAACCAAATAGAAATTTAAAAAAAATAAGGCAAAACTACATATATTTGAAAAAAAAAAAAAACTTAAATATTCACGCGAAAAACTCGCAAAAAGCATTCACAAATTCATATTCACATTGTTTTTGCAATGTTAAAAAAATTTCCATAATGAACAACATTTTCATAATAAATCATCTGAAGAAATTTTCAAAACAATTATTTCCAGTATTTCCATTTACAGCAAAGTAAGAAAGTACGCTATACAACTTCCGAAATTCATAGGCGTGTCCAACCCTCTAAATTGTTGTCATAATGCATACACATATATAATACAATTGGATGTACATATGTATTATTTATGTACGCATGTAAGTATATGCCGAGAACCAAAATAATAATTTGCGTCATCAAGATAGTACCACATTGCAAAATATGAGTTTGCTTATAAATAATTTAATTATTAATGCCGTAAAATCATATTTTCCTTCGTGATAACTTTTTCTTTTTTTTTGTTTTGAACATATTTGCGCTAATTTATAATTCATTCAATATTCATGTGTGTGTATATAGATTACTCCTGATTTGGGCTAATATGTAGTATGTATGTACATACATATATCATGAAAATCATTATAATTTACCTACACTCGCACATGTCATAATGAATTTTTTATACTAACGTCGATAGAAGTAACCAAAAAAATACATATATTTTTTCATAAAATCAAACGAACACGAGTTTGTACAATAGCATAGAAAGCTGCATAAATGTGACATTGCGAAAGATGTGCCGATTAGGCAGTCCGAATAAGGATATGTAAGCAAACTATCGATTAATGAGGATATTTATGCATCTGTCTACAGTTCAACCACAAAAAAAAAATCATTCATAAATTCGTAAAAAAAAAAAAAAAATAAATAAAATAATAAAATAAACTAACCAAAATATTATACATGCCGCACAGCATGTAGCAGAAGAAGAAGCAGCAATGTGTATACAAAGTAAACTGAAATACAACATTGAAAGAAAAATACATAAGAATTTCAAATATATAATTGTATTGAAATTTCTCAACATAAAATATGAAAATAAAAATAAAAAAAACAATATATTGTATATGAGCATATAATTATATATACATATGTATGATCTGATCCATATAAGTAACAAATAATATAAATAAAGGATTGAGTTATTTAATTACAAATGTTAAAAGTATTTTTAATAAATCATATAAGTGTCGTCTGACTGCAGGTGGTAGTCACACAAGCATGTTAGGAATATATTTTACCAAAGAAATTTTTGTTGTAAGCAAATCAACCACTTATTTTTGCGTTGGTTTGTTATTATGTTTCTATAGGAGAACGTTAGCAAAACAGCTGTTGGTCATGATTGGCGCAATCTTTTCAAGTTTATCGTTTTTATCAGACTGTACTTGACTGACAACTAAACAAACACTAGCACTAGATTCAGTTTTCAAAAATTTTGCAAAGGATACACAATCGCATAGGTGCATTATTGGGTGCATTCAGCGTACTGAGCGCTCAGTAAACATGTTCAGTGAGCGATTTTATTGATCGATTAATGTTCATGAACGCAATGCTACTTCAACTGTCGGAACGACCACATCGTTGCAACTTCAACTGTCGAAACTAATTGTGAAATGGCACAGTTTCTTCATAAAAATGTTAGGTCCTTTCTTTTAAATTTCTTTCTTTGAAAAACTGTTTATCTAGTGCAGATGGCGCAACTGAACCGAGTTGACAACCTAAATAATCTAGGCGCAACTGAATCGAGTTGACAACCCAAATAATCTAATAAATTGTCGTCACAGGCACTTTCAAGTAGAAATACTTTTAATTTTAGGCGATTAATTTTTTCTGCATACAGCAGCTGACCGATCACTAGCAAGTAGCATAAAAATTTTGCGCTCATTAATATGGTGAGTTTTCTCTTAGCATGTTTACTAAGCGCTCAGTCCGCTGAACGCACCCAATGATTTATAAAATATTTTGGTGCTTACGTTTAACGCCACCGCGTTTTTATCTATCTATACCGCGGTATCTCGCAACTGTTTGAGTGCTACCGTAATATATTGATACTGACCGCATATCTCTTAAGATATTATTTTTCTTATATTTTCAAAAACATTTGAAAAATACATTGAGGGGTTAATTCTCATTTCCTCTTATTCTGTCTTTCTTCTGCACAGGGTTGTAAATTTACGGCAAATACAGATTTAAGGAAACCAATGATGCCATATGTCTTTAAAAAACATGAAAAAAACAACTTATGGTGACTTTACACTGAACCAATTGAAAATATTGAAGTTAGTTAATCAAAAAACTCTTACCTCATATCTCCACAGGCAATCAGAAATTGCCAAACAACATAATCATTTGTAAAATGATATCAACCAAACATTTTCGTTGGATAAAAGCTATTAAACATTTAAAAAAAATTATATCTGGGAAGGACAGTAAAAGAAGCACGAAGCAAATTTCATGCATCATTAATCACTTAACATTAATCTAATATTGAAATATCAATGATCAATATCAATATCAGGCAATAAGAACCCTAGAGACGGACAAAGAAACCAATCAAATTCTTATATGAATTGGTGTATTCGGCTTTTGTCGGCTACATAGATATGTTGTCGACTCTGCTTGATGAAAATGAAAAATTGTTGATATTTTAATTTGACGGACGATAATTTGATCGTCCCCACTTATTCTTGTCAAAATAAAACTCATTTGTGTTGCGATGTTAGACATTGAACCTTTATTGACCCTTTAAACTATATCTTGTTTGCTTCGTATGCAAATTTACGTCGCAAAATAAGTAAATAGAAAATAAAACCAAAAAATAAAAATACGCATCAATGACAATAGATCCTTCATACTGAAAAATCATCTAAAGGGTTTACCTTGTTAAAATTAAATAATTTAAAATATTCAATTAAACTATTAAATAAATACTATTTTCCAATAAAATTGCAACAGGTAAGAATGTAAGAGGAAATCATCTTCCGAACACGACATAAGATCCGAGCTGTATGTTCGGAGGTTTACTTCTGTCGTTTCTCTTGAGAGCAAGGAAAACAAATTCAAGTTTTTGGTAAAATTTTATAAGATATTGAATGGAATTGGTGACGCATTTATTAATTTTATATCTAGTGCCATGTAGAAGTGCCAGCGACTTTACTCGAAAATCTTAAAGAAAATTCACTTATAAAAAGAATATTTTTCAATAAAAATTCTCTCTGCTTCTGTATATAATTTCATTAAGTTTAAAAATGAAATGTTCTCATTAGTAATATACAAACAATATTAGGTTTATATTCAAATTTTTTGTAATTCGCTCTCAAAAATTTCTATTGCGAATTAAGTAATTCTAATTAGCGCTTTGTAACCGCACAATCGATTTTCGGCTGAGCTCCTCCTCCAGTTTGTGGTTTTGCGTCTTAAAATTTTTTAACAAATAGAGGGTGCAGTTTATACTAAGCTGTCTCCGAACGGCTGATGGTTTTTTTATGAGGAGCTTAATTTTATGTCAGAAATACAGTCGGAGTGGTTGACGTTATATACCGAGGGGCGACCGGGCGAGAAAATTTATCATAATTTTTTATTTAAATTAATTTTCTACAACTTTTTGGACTTGAACCCGAGCCTTGCGAATGGCAGCACGCAATACTAACCCCTCGACTGCCATGTAAGTAATGCGTCGTGTATAATGTTTAGATGTATTATTACTAGCATACATATGTATGTCCCAATTTCTCTGTGGTGGTCAAATTCCGCTTTGTCGAGCTGCGTAGCTTATGGCTCGGGTTTGTATCGGATAAGAAGTTTTTAGTTTTTTTTTTATTTAGAGATGAAATACCTCAAAAGTTCATTTTGCGAAATTTAATCGATGGTCTTACATAGTCAAATCGTACTTTAAATTTTATAAAAAACTAAGTTAGAAGACAGCTTAAAATTTCGTTTGGAAAATGTTTGTAACGGACAAGTATATGTCGTTTATAAATGTTTTTGTTTAGACGAATACCTCTAAGATAACCTTGGCTTTACAATAGTTTTCATGTAATACACGAATCCTTGTACATACAGTCCAATTATTGAAATATTCTCTTCCGTTCTGGCATCACAGTGCTGCCATATTTGCATATTCCTCGAACTGCTTACAGCAACCCTGTTGGCGTCGTTCGCGCCTGTTCGGTCTTTTAACGTCGTTGTATGGTCGGCATTTTTCACTACTTCATCAAGATCGTCAGAGGGAGGAGGAATTGAAAAAATTGCACCGATTAATTTAGTATAGTGCGGCTTTGGTGATTTTAAAATTTTTATCTTAATTTAACTGTTACTAAGTGGAAAATAAAGCAGCCAATATGTCTGACGAAAAGAAGGTAAGTTAGTGTAGATGTTATCGTAAACAAAAATGTTAAATATGTATCAAATGATGCTAAAATTCAAGAAACAAAGTGTAACCTGCAGAATGAGTGCGAATTGAAAAAGCAAAAAAAATGTGTATGACGCCGACAACATGGCGCGGTTGCTGTGAATTTGTGTGCTTACAACATGTGAATAATTGATACTAAACATAGCGTAGATTCCATGAAATGTTTTATATGTTGTACATGTTATAAAAAATGTATTTACATCAAATTTTTGCTCTACCTTTTTGGAGTCTTAGGTGAATTTGGCTCTGACCTAACCTAAAATTCCTTAGGCTTTAATGCCGACAATTTCACAGCTATTATACTATTTCGCCAGACAATGAGCTATAAAATCTATAACTTGGTGGTACCACTAAATATATATGTTTGCTTTATATTAGTGGTCATAAATATTAAACTTGGTCTATTTTTCATGAAGGCACAGTGGTAAATATTGGCTTAAAATCGTAGAATAAGCAAAAAGTATATACATATTTGTTTTTTCTTTACATAAGGTAATAAAACTATTTTTTTAATATCATTTCCAGGGAGAAACAGAGCATATTAACTTGAAAGTTTTGGGACAGGACAACGCTGTCGTCCAATTTAAAATCAAGAAACATACACCCTTAAGAAAACTCATGAATGCATACTGCGACAGAGCGGTAAGTTAAAAAAAAAGAAGCTTTCATTGTGTCTGTAATTACATTGCTAAATATATTTGAATTATTTCAGGGTCTTTCCATGCAAGTAGTGCGGTTTCGCTTCGATGGTCAGCCTATAAATGAAAATGATACACCAACATCATTGGAAATGGAAGAAGGTGATACTATTGAAGTATACCAACAACAGACGGGAGGCAGAAATTAATTTTGAAATTAACAAAGAAAATCTAATAAAATCACTTAAACATTAAAGCAAAAATCAATTTAATAATCCATACAAAAATGATAAGTTAAAATAAGTATCATCCAAACTATGCTGAATAATCGAGCAGTGCATAATCCTCTTGTTACGAAGATGTGTATAACTGCCCAAAATTTAAATCGGCGTAAAATCTTAGTTTCAACTTGTTCAAACCGAAGAGTTTATTGACCATGTGGAGTATACGCTATCCATAACCGCTCAAGCGTGCTTACAGAGTGGATCACAACATCCATGATATCAATTATACATTTTCTAATTACTTTAACCTTACAATTATTTAATAAGCAGTTTGTATCGAAATAATTTTAATTTATGAATGGAAACTAAAGAAAGCATTTATTATTAGACAGACGGAAAACTTTTTTCTTTACTAAGAATATCACTACTTAAAAAGTCTTGCAAACGGCAGTAGCGGTCAAAGAACCTTTTTGGGCTTGGCAAGTTGTAATCTGTTTTGAATATGGGCAAACAAGCTAAGCAGTCGGCAAGTTTACAATTACATAAGTAAATTTTTTAGAACATAACTGTATTAAACAATTTAAAGCACGAGAGAAATATATAATTAATAGAAACTTCATGGAAATGGTTTTTCTTAATTAAAATGTGGAAGGTAGTACAATACATTTTTTGCATGTATATTTTTTTTTGGTCAAATGGTCCCACTGTGCAAGCATGAATCAAACTGTGTACAAGTTTAGTACAGTTGCGTCAAATCATCTCTCGGAGTTTCCTAAAAACAGAAGCCGCCAGTTGACGGATACTCAAGATAGCCCTTTCTAACCTCACTTTTAATAGTGGTCCCTCAAAAATCTCATGTAAACTCGAAAAAATTTTCATGTCCAGATAAAAAGACAAAAATAAACCTTACATGTACGATGCGATTTTTTCCAAGGAAGTTCATAAATAGGTCAAGCAAGTAACCTAATAATTTCGAAATCACCTTTCTGAAATTATGTTTTAAGGCACCAGGCCTTAAATTAAAATTTATTTTCAATTTAAAATCTTAATGAACGTAAGTAACAACATGCAATCTATTATATACATATGTATGTACATTCAAGGATATATGAACTTACATATGCATGTATGCAGTAATTATCATGCCCATGAGTGAAAATATTGCATTTAATAATTCTAAGTGAGTTCTAACACAAATGAACTCGATAAATAAATGTTTCTATAATTTTACGACTTGAGTTTTTCCAGTAACAAGAATAATTTAAAGGAATATCCTCTAATTAACTATAAATAATCCTTCAAAATGGATACAATTCCCTTAAAGGTCGTTCAACGATTTGGAATGAACATCATCCCAAAGCATTTTAATCTCCTTATATGTTCTATTTTAATTTAATTTGAGCTTGCTCTTTTCTTTAGCTTCGCTAACTTTCTTCAAATGTTTTTTACCAATCAGGTGTTGCTGCAGCGCTGCTACATGACACATGGACATATTACAGCACTCACAATAATATGAGCCACTCGGTGTTCGATACATTGATAAATCTACATTGGGATTATTTTGTTGAAGGCTTTGTAGTATAGTTCCTTCTCCATTGACAGTAATAGCCGGTATACCAGATGGGGTAAGACTTTTTTCAATAGTGCATTCTAATCCCAAAGCCTTTAATTTTTTCTTATGCTTTATGCCTTGCAAATGCATAGTCATTTGCGATTCTGAAGTTGCTGCAATTTTGCAGATTTCACAGAATAAGGATGTTGAAACATTTTTTGCTGTTTCTATGGCGCATTGAATACCTTCTGTTGTCGGTGTCGCAATTTCGGGAGTTGGTGTAACTTCGTTTACACATTGTTGATATTTGAATAATTCTCCAATACCAAAACGTCTATCCTTATCGTCATTGGGTACATATTTAGTTGAAGTTCGCACCCATTTATGCTCTGCATTATAATAACCGGAACCGGATGGTTGTGATATTTTGTTGGCGACTAGCTTATGTCTTCGCCCAGCGAAGTGTTGATTTGCATGTGCCAGAGAACCAAATTTCAAATCACACAGATCGCATTGAAATGCATCTGGCCCAGTTGGTCCTTCTTTAATGAATCGTTTAATGGTCGGAGCTGTTATTGCCTTATCTGTATAGTTTGTTTTTAACCAGCTTGTTATATGGCGATCATGCTGCTTAGATTGGTAGTGATCCCTAGCACTTTTAGCGGAATTCATTTGCACAAAACATAAAGCACAATGCAATGGATGTATTAGTTTATTTAATTCATCTGGATAACTAGGATCCCTTCCTTGAAATATTACCAATGATCCATAACTTGCTGGTTGGTCCGATGGTTCCTTCGTACTACTACCAGGACCAACATCGTATTTGCGCTTTTGGGGTATGGAAACTGGGGGTGGCGTATAGTTGGTGCCTTGTAAGCCTGCTGGAATATACCTATTAAAATTTTGGTATTGATTATGAATATCCACAGTTAGTTGCTGTTCCTCCAGAGGGGGAGGTGGTGGTGGTACAATTGCCTCTGTTACTTCGGACTGAGCTGTCGGAATATGGTAGCCCGCCAAGAATCCGTAACTCATAATTGCTATATAGCAGCGAACGATAAATAATTAGTTCACAAGTTTGGTTTATTTTGGTAAACAAAGCCGGTTCACATTCTTGTATTTTGAAAGATACTAAAGAGTTACCATGGTATAAACAAAAACTAGTTGTAAAACGCCAGCTCCTTTGATTACATATTTAATCCTATAAACAACAATATTTAGCTTTGATATACCCACATTTGATAAAAGTTCTTTTTTTGATCAGTCCAAGCATTCTTTGCTAGATTTTTATAATAATTGAGTCATATGTATGTAATAATTGAGTGATGAGGAAAATATGTAAAACTTCTAATAAATTATTGTAGGACTGTACAATGTTATAAATGCACCTCTGCTTTTCTTGGTAAATACTCCATTTGTCATAAACAGCTGATAAAGCGTAATTTTTTTCACAAATAAACATGACAAAACGTTTATGGGCCGATAAAATAAACCATTAAAAAGGAATGTAAAATAAGACATAAAATAATTTAAAAATTTTCCAAAACCAAGTGAAGTTTTAATATGGAAGATGATGATGTTGGTGTACACCGCCTCGAAGGATCTACTGGTAATGTACGTGGTGGGCTTGTAATAAAGAAGCCGAAAGATGAAACTAGCGATAGTAAATTCAAAGTGCCTAAACCTTCCATACTGGGTTTGGATCGTTTAGCTGCACAGCGCCGAAAGGAGCGCGAGGAATCGCAGCGATTGATTTCCTTCAAAGACAACGATAATGACGAAGATGATCGAAAGGGTGGTGTGTCCGCAACATCAGCTAGTGATGAATTTGCTTTTAAGAAACCTGACTCCAATAGTCTACAAAAGATGAGTAGGCAATTGAGAGAATCCAAAGTAGAAACTCCATCACATACAGGTGGCGTGTCAGAAGAAGCGAGAGAACGCTTGCGCCAACATGTTAAACGTGACCGAGAGCGCACCACCAAAAGTGGAATGCGTTACTCAACACGTGATCATAGCAAGAACGATAACAGAGACCGTAAGACAAGTACGTCGAGTCGTGGACGAGATCGGGATTGTGATCGTGATCGTGATCGCCGTCGTGATAGAGACCGAAATAGGGAAAAAGAACGTGATCGCGATCGTGATAAAAGTAGGAATCGAGGAAGGGAACGCAGTAGGAATGACTCAGAACGTAGTGAACGAGGAGATCGAACATCTGTTCGTAGTGGCGAGCGTACACCACGCTTTAAAGACGAGCCACGCACACCTATTGACATAACGGTTAGTGGAAGTGCTTGGGACGATGACGACAGCGACCGTCCTACACAATCGAAGAAATCTTCTTGGGATTTTCCAACACCGAAATCATATGCTAGTTCAGAACGTTCCGATTGGTCTGCGCGAAGTAGCAATACTAGTGGTATTGGTACAAGCAGTTCGCGTAGTCGTTCTCGCCAGGAAAGGGACGATGATACGCCAAGACCAACGCCAGCTCATAACTATAATGTTTGGGCTAATGATCGCAAGCGTTCTGGTGCTACACCAGCAACCGGACGTAGTAATCGCCAACCTTGGGGTGAGAGTGAGGAAGAACGAGATTTATGGGAAGAAGAACAACGACGTTTAGATCGGGAATGGTATAATATTGACGAAGGTTACGATGATGAAAACAATCCATTCACAGGTTCCAATGCAGACTACTTCAGGTAAGTTAAACATGTATACTCTTTATTAAACTTATTCTAACTACAATCGATTTTGCAGAAAACGGGAGGAAATAATCGAACAGAAACGCACCAAACGTATTAGTGCACAGCAGCGGCAAATTAATAAAGATAATGAATTATGGGAGCGTAATCGTATGCTCACCTCTGGTGTCGTCATGTCCATTAACGTAAATGAAGACTTCGACGAAGAGGCGCTGGAGCGTGTACATTTACTGGTGCACCATATCATTCCACCATTCCTTGATGGGCGTATTGTATTTACCAAACAACCAGAACCCGTTATACCTGTAAAAGATCCCACTTCTGATATGGCCCTGATTGCACGAAAAGGCAGTGCTTTAGTGCGTGTATACCGCGAACAAAAGGAACGCAAAAAAGCCCAAAAGAAACACTGGGAACTTGGTGGCACAAAATTGGGTAACATTATGGGTATAGAAAAGAAGGTTGATGAAGAAGACGCCAAATTCGATAAAGATACAGATACTGCTGATTACAGACGTGATCAAAAATTCGCTGAACATATGCGTGATCAAGACTCTGGCGGGAAGAGTGATTTCGCGCGCAAAAAAACAATCTTTGAACAGCGTAGGTTTTTGCCCGTATTTGCTGTACGACAAGAGTTGTTGAATGTAATAAGAGAAAATTCAGTTGTCATTATTGTGGGTGAAACGGGTAGCGGTAAAACTACCCAATTAACACAGTATTTACATGAAGATGGCTATAGTAATTTTGGCATGATCGGCTGCACACAACCGCGTCGTGTAGCGGCCATGTCTGTGGCGAAGCGTGTCTCTGATGAAATGGGCACAAAGTTAGGTAAGTTAATTTGATTTTCACCTACTATATTATTAATAAACCAAATCTAATTTGTTTTGTGTCACTTTTATCGTAGGTGATGAAGTTGGTTATGCTATACGTTTTGAAGATTGTACTTCTGAAAAAACTGTTATCAAGTATATGACCGATGGTATTTTGTTACGTGAAAGTTTACGTGATCCCGATTTGGATGGTTATTCCGCTATTATTATGGACGAAGCCCACGAGCGTTCACTATCTACAGATGTACTTTTTGGATTATTACGTGAGGTGAGTGTTTTGAATGTTGCTAAGTTTCATGAAGATGTCTATATTACAATCAATTAAAAGTTACAAGATTAAAATGTTTGATTAGTGAAAATAAAACCTAAGAAACCGTGGTTAGAATTAACTTCCAATTACTGCTTCAGCTCTGCATTTCTATAGCTAACTGCGCAGACTTTTTTTTGATATTTTTGAAATTTAGCTTTTTTGTGCTTCATTGAGTTCTCTCCTACTTTCTGGAAATACCGGATAGACTATCAGTATAATAAGTTCCCCCACAATGAGAAATGCTTTCGCTCACACTTATTTTTAGTCAACGTGGATATACATACATACCTACATACCTTTAAAACATATTTCACTTTTATCATATAAATTCTGATTATTCATTCTATACGGCACAATGTCAATGTTAAAAATAAATTTTTGTATCATGTGCTTTGCTTATCAAAGAAGAATTTAAAAAGTAATTAGTGCGAGGTATTAAGGAAACCCATGGGGATTTCCTTTTCTTTCATCATAATTTTGATTAAATTTAATAATAATGACGGCAATCAAAACCTAAAAAACTACATGAAAAATATGAAGTGGAAACACGAAATAATTGTTGTCAAAAAACGAACCTTTATTCAAATTTCGATGCAAAAAGGAAAAAAAACAGTTTTTTAATCAATATCATAAGCTGTTCATAAATCAGAGCGGCTTATCGCTTTTTTACTTATGCGCTAATTTCTAAATACAATACGATATTTTTACTTAATTATACTGCGCTATACTTTTTCGCAAGTAATAATAATATTTTTTAATAATAATTGAAACATAAATACATATATATATATATATATATATATATATATGTTTACTGTTTCTCATTTGATTTGAAAAAGTTATAATTTTAATGTTTTTACGTTTCATATATCATAATAAACAAAAAACGAATCACATCAAGTTCCACTAGCATTGTTGTAATATTTATATATATTTGTATGTGCATTAGGCATACAAAAAAAAACTTAGCTTTCACGCCTAGCACAAGCTAGCGTTCACCTAGAGCGTAAACAAAACAAACAAAATGTTAACTTAACTTGACTAATAAATATCAAACATATACACATACTTTTAGTATACACATAAATATCTGAAATTCAACATTAATTCCATACATATTGAGTATGTTTATAGAGCACAGCAGAAACAAATAAGGACAAACTTTTAAAGTTTATTATGTTTAATGTTGATTTTTCTGTTTTTTTTTTGTTTTTTTTTTTTTGTATTTTTTTTGAAATCTGCAGTTGCTTGCAATGCATATGTTGTTATTATGAATTTTTTCTTTCGAATTGTTTTTGTTTTGGTAAATCTTAAATCTTATAAATAGAAATCAAGTCTTTTTCACATTAGAAATTCACAGTGTATCAGTACGGGTACTGAATGAAGTTCAATACTCGTGGCAGAGATGAGAGCGAAACGCTTTTATAAATATGTATGTTTGTATGTACATACAAATGTAGTTTTATACATATTTTATGTGTTTATCCTTAAGTAACAGTATGTTGTACATATTGGTAAAGTTATAAAGCTTAAATACAAATACAACAACTTTAAGGTCATGAATGTTTTCGTTTTGTTTGTTGGTTCAATAGATCAATCTTATTGATGTATGTATGCATATTTGTTTGTGTGTGTATTCGAACACGGCATGCATGTTCTTTACAAGTTGTGGTGTGTGTGTGTTTGTGTGTATGTGGGCTTCTGTGGCTTGGTTACTGATCCGTACACTGCAATCAATCATCCTAATCAATCAATGATCAATGAGAAGAAGCAAAACTTGTGTCTTTTTTTGTCTTAGCTAATACATACATACATGCTTGTATAATGTATTACTGCTTTGGCGCAACTTAACTAAATAAATTATATAAAAAAAAATTAATTAAATACATAAAATAAAAACTAAAAATAATTTAAAGTTGCTTCTCCGCTCATTTTGTAATACTTTGGTTGCTTAGCAAGCTCACTGTAATTTATATAACTAATTGCCCTGCTGGCGAAATTTCTCGCGCTGAAGTACATTTCTTTTCTGCTTGTAACTTTGCTAATTATTTAGTTAATATTAATAACAAATCCCTAAGCTCTGTTCAATTATTTAAAACCAATTTTTATTTAATACTAATTCTTAATTTTTTTTCGTAATGTGCAGGCAAAAATATTTAATTGTTAAATTACAAATCAAATTTTAGCAATGCACTTTTATACGTTCCTTCGAATAATATAATATTATAATATTTTTAAACAATTAAATTTTTTAACAATAATAATTTAAATTGATTGCAGAATAAAAACAAAAGTGTAGAAAAAAATTTAAGTAGAGACAAACAAATGCTCTTACAAATTTTGTTTCTACTTTGTTGTTGCTAAGCTTCAGTACAAATTGTTTCTCTTTATCTCTCTCCTTTGATTGATCTGATCGATTGATCGCGCATCCTCACTGGATTCGCTGAAATCTGCTACGCCGCAAAATGTTGTACATCATAATGGGATGTATGTACAGGTGTGTTGATTCACTTGGATGTGGAGTAAGATTTCTGTTTATTCATTAGCAAAATCATGCCTGCATTCATGCCAACGCTGCCCCATTTTACGCATTCGGACATCTGCAATGCATTGAAAGGGATTTTTTGAGTTAAAAAATTTTTTTTTTTTTTGTGTATCAGGGTATAAATATTTTTTAAATATATTTATTTGTTTAATTTTATTAAATTTTTTTTACCAACCTGTCGCTTTCGCACATCCTGCTGCCGACTACCGTAACGACACCAATACACGAAATGCTTATTATTATTCCATAAACTGTGTTTGGCCTTGCGCGCAAAGGACACCTGTGCGTGTGGAATAGCAATAAAATGTGTTAATAAGCTTACAAGTTACCATGAATAAATATTGATAAATATTATAAATTTATAAAAAAAATATTTATTACATTTAAATATTTCTTGCTTGTTCCTTACCTGATTGCGTATGTCCTTTTCGTTATGTGCTGATTTCTCCTTATCGGCAAAATTATTAATACGCAATTCCCAACCTTGATTCCAAATATCCTCAAGGTTGAGTTTGACCATTTTGAATGTACCGTTATCACGTATTTTCACAGTGTAAATTTCAATTGTCTCTGGTTTGGGTTTGTTGTCTGCAAAAGAAGAAAAAGAATGTTGAAGAAAATAAATACCATAAATATTTGTCAGTAAGCAACAACTTAACAGCTTATTTGATTAAACATTGCAGTTTTGTTTCGAGATTATGGCCAAATAAATCTCCCCAAAAGCGTTGTTATGAATCTAAATATTCATATACTATGTATTGTATATATATATGTACATATATACATGCGTATGTACTTATGTATATTTCTAAAATAATGTACGCTTGTACTATTTGTTCTCTAAAATAATTCAAGATCAAGTTCATTGCGCTCTAACACCGTATTTGGCTTTGTTATTTGTTTATAAGCTGCTTTTGTTTAAATAATGATGAAGTTGGGAGACAAAAAGAACCTTTGCCTATTTATTTTGACAAAAAAAAAAAGAATACATTGAAATGAATTGAAATATTTAATACAACAACAGATTATATGGCTGATTTTGATGCAGTTGTAGAGCACTCGCCTGTTAAGTCTCTGCCATAAGCAGTCTGATGAGGAGATGTGATGATCTCCGAAACAGCTGTCATTTCTACCATTTTTTCTTTGTTGTATAAAAAATATTACATTCAAACAAACAAACTAGTCCTTCAGGTTATTTAATATGTATAACAAAAATTTGTTTTGTTTTATTTTCGTTTTTTTAATTTTTACATATTTAAATTAAAATTTCTTTATTAGATTTGATTTGATTTCATTTTAGTTTTTACCTCGTATTTGTTATATTTTTAATTAATTTATTTTTTTATAATTTTATTTTACATATTTTATTTTATTTTTTTTATTTTTTTTTTTTACTTTATATCACTTTTATTTTTACATTTTTCTAGTTATTTTTTGTATTTATTATATTATTTTGTGTTTTAAAATTATTTGAATTTATAAAATAAATAAAAGTAATATTTTTATATTTGTTTGTGCTATTATTAATCATTTTTATTTCATTTTCTATTATTTTACATATACATATATTTTTTTTTATTTTATATTATTTTAATTCTTATATTTCTCCAGTTTTTTTATTTCTTGTTTTTATTACATTTATTTTGTTTTTTTTTTTGTAATTTCTTTTTTTTTGCCCGCACGAAATTTCGAAATGGTTCTAATAAAATATTTAATTTTTTGTTATTACGTTAATTATTTTATTGTAACATATAAGTTAATTTTGGTAAAATAATTGAATACTTTTGAAATATAACAATTTTTATGAAAATTAAAGTTTAGAAAAGAAGTATTTTTTTTTTCATATATAAAAACCAAGAAGCCACAAATAGATTTTCTTCGTATGGAAAAGTTCTGCTCATATTAACCTAAGCAAATAGAAGTGTTTCTCATGTTAATTAAGGCAAAAAGTCAATACCAAATTTCAGTATATTTAATAAATCGGTCCTAGGCCTATTTCATAGAAGAAAAAACGTCCCCCGTGTCAATAGCTATGTACGAGTGTGTACCAAAATTCAGGCAAATCAAACGATTTAGAAATAAATGGATTTTCTGTTGTTGTTGTAGCAGCAATTCAATTTGCCCGAATACATCGGTAGCCACTTTTTATTTTTTTATTTCATTTGCTTACTTCAATTTAATGAATTGATTTGTTTTATTATTTTTTTAGTTGTATGCATTTTCGTTTTTTTTATTCGAATTAATTTTTACTTCTTTATTATATTTTTTTATTTTCTTCTATATTAATTTAGGTTTTTTTATTTATTTTTTATTCGAATTAATTTTTATTTTTTTATTCAATTTTATCTCATTTGTTATTTTCTTCTATATTAATTTAGGTTTTTTTATTTATTTTTTATTCGAATTAATTTTTATTTTTTTATTCAATTTTATCTCATTTGTTTATATTTTTAATTTTATTTATTTTTAATTTTTTATTGTATTTTTTTATTTTCTTCTATATTAATTTATGTTTTTTTATTTTTTTTATTCTTATTTATTTTATTATTGTATTTTAATTAATTGATTTTTTTCTATTTTTAATATTTTTAATGGGTTATTTGCCTTTTTTACTATGTCTTTGGTAGTAGTAAACAAGCACTATCAGTTAAGTTAAAAATAGCATTCAAATGCACATTCTAATCATACATACATACATATATGTGTTTGCACAATCTACTGAATGCCGGTTTCAAAGTAAACAAATAAATCCCATATATTTCACCAACAAATCATTCTAATCTTTTTATTTTTTTGAATTTTTATAAATCAATTAATGGAACTACAAATGACAAACATATAATTGCTTGTATGTATGTTTGTAATTGCGGCTTACGTGATGTGACGCCATCACTCACAACGTTAAAGCGTAGGTAATCTATAAAGTGTGGAAAGTACCTGAAAAAACTAAAAGACACTTAATCCCTGATTTCAATTTTAATTGCTTTTTTTTACTTATTTCCATTGTAAACAAATCAATTGTGCCCTAATTACCATTGTTTTTTTTTTTTTTTTTTAAATTTTGAACACAATACTGCAATAAATTCACCAAAACATGCATATGCTCATATATACAAACAAAAAGCTAATAAAAATGGGTTCTAACAATAAAACTGTAATTTAACGATTAAAATTTATCAACTCATCAGTCAATAAAAAAAAGCGCCAACATATGAATGCTCACAGGAATCAATTCATTTTTGTATGTACGAAGGTCGAGATTTACGAATGGTTCGAAAGTTCACCTTAAAGGCCGCGACGTTTACATTACATTAAAGTAGTTGTAATTTAAATACGGAATTAAAAAAAAGAAACTAAACATTTGTTATTATTATTTTATTTTTAATTTTTTGTTTAATCTATTTTACCTCGTTGTATATATGTATGAAATTTGTATGAATGTAATTATGCCGTTTGCTTGTCATACTATTATATAAATAGCACATGTTAAAGCTCGTGTTCTGTACACAACAACAACAACAACAAACACAACATAGTGCTCTACGATTGTAAAGTACATCCACTTCGCTTATTTACATTATAATTTTCCATTTACATTTAGTTATCATTTTGAAAAGGTCTTTTTTGCAATTAGAGCAATTGATAAGTAGAATTACGCTAATCACAAGGCAACATTGTACATTTATATCTAACATAAAGATACACAAAATAGACAAGGAGGAAAAAATGTAACTTTACATAATACAAATAACTTTGTTTTTGTTGTTGACAAGCAAAACCTTTGAAATTTTCCACAAAATAAACAATTAGCGAATATTTGAGATTTTTTTATATGAAAATTGTTAATCTAATTAGCCCTTTTTAAAGAAATTTTTAACTGATAGCTAAATGTCGTTGTCAGCATGTGATAAATTGTTTACTCTTGCGTAAAAGAAGTGCGAAAATTACAGTGACTTGTTAGTTTTTCAACGAAAAAAAAAAATACCGAAAATAAAAATAAAAAATAATAATTATTATAACTTTTGAAAACAATTTCATTATTAAATTTAATCTGAAAAAAAATTTTGTGTAATGGCGGTAAATTTATAAAAAAAAAATCTAAAATGTGACTTGGGAAAAAAAATTGTTATCATAATAAAAATAAACATTTTAATTAAATAATTTTCACAATATTTTCTCATTTGCTGAGTATATTTCCCTTTTTTTAAGTTTTAATTAAAATTCTTTTTATTATTAGCCTTCTATTTCTAGGACAGGAGCTCAGATAAGAACTAAAAATCCGTAAATTACATATTTTATATATATATATATATATATATCAACTCATATATATATATATATTATATTTATAATGCAATTTAGGAAGTTATGTATTTTTTTTGTTATTAGGTGCCTTGTCACATTTACCATATATATAAAATAATTAATTACATATATAAATTAGATAATTAAATTTTTTTAATAAGTTTTAAGCTCTTAATGACATAGTGAAATTTTGAACTTATAAAAAAATTACTGTTTACACAATTAACAAACAAATTTTTCTTAAATAAAATTTAAAATTGTTTTCCATTTCACAAATTTTATTAGTAAATTGTTTCAAAGAAACAAACAAAGAACATAATACAAAAATAAAAAAAATTAATTTAACTTCGTATTCTCCAAAAATGCCTTTTCTATATTTTTTCTTATGAATGTACAAAATATATTTATAATAATTAAATTTTTTATTAATAAATCCCAAATTTTTTTCAATAAATTAGTACAAAAAAAAATATTTTCAATTTCGTGAAAATGTAACTTTTTCTCAAATTTAATTTACATTTATTTACTAGTTTTGATTTATGATTTCAAAAATTTGAAGTTTTTTCAATTTTATTTTAAAATTCAAATTATGCTGCGCTCAAAAATATGCAACACGTTATGCAGATTTTGACCATAATGCATGTTGAGTTTACTCTAGTAAGTGATGTACATATCAAAAAGTATTTATGAGAGTGTTGCCTACATTCAGGCAAACAACTTTAATATTAGCGCAAGGAATTAAAATAAGGTTCTGAATAAAAAAGCAATTAAGAAACATTCAAACAATAAAAAATACATGCAAATTTTACGTTTTAGTAACGAAAAAAGTTTTTAGAGAAAAATAAATTTAAAAAATGGGGCCTACTTTTTGCCGCAAATTTCAATAGCACAAATATATAAAACAAAAGTGTAATTTTCTTTTTAAGTACTCTAATACACAGAATTTAAATTCAACAAATATCATTAAAAAATCACTTTTTCGCTATGGACGCTTAATTTTTCTGTAAATTTTAATTAATATTTTTATTTGTTATTTTTATTTTTTATTTTTATCTCTTAATTCTTGTCTGCTGTTTAATGCCTACTTGTAAGTAGTGTTGTATGCGTACTTGTGCAATCACTTTAAAATCGTGTGTATGCACTTGGTAATACCACACACACTGCCAACGGATGTGGCTCTAAGTGCAATGTAAATATAAAAAAAATTAATACCATTTAAATGCTTTAAAATTAATTTATATCTTATCACATTCACATACATACATATGTATAGCCAACTAGAA